CAGCCAGGAAACAAGGCGGATTGGTTCCCAGTTGAAGGGGGGAGGTTTTGGTTTATTTTGGGGGGGAAATCGCTACTCTGAGCACCGCAACGGGTTTCCCAGGAAAGTTGTGGATGCGCCATCCCTGGAAGAGTTCAAGGCCGGGATGGATGGAGCTCTGAGCAACCTGGTGTAGTGGAGGATGTCCCTGCCCATGGCAGGGCTTTCAAACTTGCTGGTCTTTAAGGTCCCTTCCAATCCCATTTTATGATTTTAAGATTCTATGCTGTCAGTGCACCTTTATGAACATGCTGGTGAATTCTTGACACCAAATGCACACAAACATAAACATCATCACTTGTGACCTCCCTTACACATTGTTTTATGGATTACCACTGAACGATCGGTCCGTGCTGAGCCAGTTGACCAGATGGATGTTCTTCAATTTCCAGCTGCTGCAAGCTGAAACAAGAGGACAGGCAGCTGCCTGGATATTGTGAGTTACACTGGAGGTATTGTGCCACTTGTGTGCTCACCATTGCTCTCCTGGGCACCCTGGCTCCTTTTCTTAGAACTCTTTTTGCAGCACACCAAAAAGCAGCTCCTGTTTTTGCAGGCAATGGGAGGAGAGCAAGAAAGGAAATCTCCAGAGTTTTGCAAGTATAGCTATGGGGAATAACCTGCAGCTATGCAGCTAGTTTGAGGAGTGTCATTTTAACCATAAAAATCTGGAGTTTGTTATAACATTAGCCCTCACCTGGATCTCACTCACTCCTGCCTGATCTCTAAACTGGCATGAGATGATCTCATCTAGTATGAGATGAAAGGAGACCAGAGACATCATGATAAGCTGTACCTCCTTGCCAAGCTTAAGAGCCACTCCTTCCACATCCTCCTCACCAGATCCCCGCACTGTCACACGGGACATCCCCCCAGGCTGCCTCCCTGTCACACAGAGCTGTGCAGTGCTACAGAACTTCACTCATGCTGCTGTTTCAGCAGGGAAAGGAGTGGCAGCTGCTGTTCCAGTCTTGGCTGGGCACACGAGAGTGGAACCCCAGCCTCTCTGGGGGAGAAGGTTTCAGCTCTGCACATGCAACGATGATGAGCTCCAAGGAATCTGCATTACAAGGTCCCTCAATTGGAACATGGCTCTGTCCCAAAAGGTGTATGAGAACTGGTGCAGTCCTTGCTCCCCAGGAGGCAGCAGCTAAACACACTCAGCTGGTGCCCTCCAACTCCCACAGCCCCAACCAAATGACAGCTCCTGGGCCTGTTTCAAAACTATCAATGTTCCAGGCAGCACACCTGGTTTCCTTCAGAAACACCCTCAACAGGTAGCTGTGTGTGCTCCCATCAGCTGATTATTACACATCTTCAAGCCAGCCCAGCAGACTGGAGGCTCATACCAGCATCCAGGGATAATTTGGGTGTTCCTGACACAGCTGAAGGTCACCAATAGGTGACATTCATCCTCATATGAGTCACCTCTAGCTCACTGGATGTGCACAATTGGTCACCTTGAAGTCTCTTTAAACACTCTACAATGTCATTACTTTCTTGGCAAACATCAAGCCCTTACAGGAAGACAAACATTAGTCAGGACATGTAAAGAAATCAACAATTTTAAAATAGACTAGAGAATATATATCCTTTCTGACAAGGGTCTCATTAGAGATTAGCTGATCTCATCCTCTCAAATGAATTTTTGACTTAAGGTATCCTCCCAATTACCTTCTGGGACAAATCCCTTTTCTGATTATTCCTGTTCTATGGAAATGAAACTATGTAAAATGAAAGTTAGTAATGCATGGTCTATTTTCACACAGATGTAATATTTCATTAACTACTCTTGGGATTTTGGCATGAGTTTTAAAACAGGATTCTCAACCTAATCTAAATAAACAGGTAAATATATCTGTCATTGTGGTAAAAACTGTGGAGGAGAAAAACTTTTCTAATTAATACTTTACTTTCTGCAGACCCTTCTCTTGCCCAGGGATCAGAGCTGTTTGTACTCCCTTTCCCTTGAGCCACTATTTCATTCAGATTTCATTCAGCAGAGATCCCAGATGCTCTCGGGAAACCACGGATGCCACAGATGGCAGCACCACAGCATCTCTCTTTGGAAGTAGACCTGCCTTATGCCAGCTTGGCCAATGACTGGAAAGAAGTCCTACCTCAAGCCAGGTGGGTGATCACTTTTGGTGCCTTCTTAGCAAGCAAAATGAGAGGGGACATCTCCTTTTAATGTCTGGGACTGAAAACTGGCCTGAGCTGCAGCGCTGAGCAGTCAGTCCCTGGCAGGAGCTTGGCCAGGGGTCTGCTTGTTGTGACACCAGCACAGGCTGGGAACTGTCTCTGTTTGGTCCCTTGGATTAATCTTTGCTTAATTACACACCTCGGGCTAAATACTTGGAGTGTCATGTGAGGGGAATCTGGCTTGCACAGGTCTTTTTCACCCCATTCATCAATTATTCTGTGTAACCCCTGGCCCATGTGGACTTCAGAAGTAAATGCAAAGACTGAATGTAAAAGTCATCAATGCACATGATGGGATTGCCTGTAACATATTTTTCAGCCTTAAAGCCTTTCCAAAAGTCCATAAAATATAGCATTTCCTGTGTATTTTTTTCTAAGAACCATGCTAATTTGCCGTCCCAGTTGTGCAGATTGCACTGGGGCAAGAGGTGTTCTGATTATTTCCTTTGTTTATGGTATTAGACTTAAACTATTGTTGATCTTATTGTTCTTATTTGTAACGTGTTCACCTCACTAGGACAGTAATTGTGTCAAGCAAGTTGGAGTCCAATCTGCAGAGCTGAATATTCAGAACTGCAAAAGAAAGGCTCCAATTTTTCAAGCAGCGGGCATATTACTCCTCCATTTGGATTATTAAATTCTAATTATAGCCTGTTGATCCAGTTACAATGTTGTTTGTAAATCTAAATACAGTTCTCTAAAGCCTGCATTTTATTTCTTAACCTGTTGATGCTTAGCAAAAAACACTGGTGTGCCTAATAGAGCAGGTGGAGCTTAGTTTGCTTGTGATCAAGCTCTTTTTTCCTCATCTGTATTCCTTTGGATATGTTTAGGAATGAATGCTTAACATCAGGAAGAGCCATGACCAAAGCATATAATGCCTTGGTACCTGTGGATGCAGTAGGGCTGGGGTTAGGATGAAATTTTCTGTTAAGTATCATTGGTGAGGATTCCCAGGTGTTTTGGGAGGAGGGGAAGGGCGGTTGGGTTTGGTTTCTCTGCTCTTTGGGAAGTTACCCAAGGTCTTCTGGGAATGGCACTTTAACCATTGCCTCTTACACAAACAATTATTTTAATTCCTTCTCTTCTTTTCATGCAGTGTTTTCTGCCCTTCCAATCCCTTTTCTTTCCTCTGCCTTCCTGAATGTTAAATGCAAGGAAAGCAGAGGAGCCAAGTGGTGTGAGCAGCAATGGTTCCCAGGGACTGCTGCTTTTTGTGTGGCTGAAAAGTCTCCACAGCTCCAAGCTGAGAGTGGACCTGCAGCATCCACCCTCACCTGTAAGAGCAGAGAAGTTTTGAGTAAGAAACTACCACAATGGGTGATTGCCTGAGTCCATAAACCATACTTCCATCACAACCTTATTTTTTCTTCCAAGTCTTCTTTTAAGCTCCAAGCACCCAGCACAGGCTCCTAGCCAGGCTTCTCACTGACTTGCTGAGGTGGCCAACTGTGGCTTGACTGCTGGGCATGGAAATCACCAGGTGCACACCCGGGATTGCCACTAAATCTTGGAGAGCTCCTCCCTGAGCCAGACACAGCTCCAGGCAGTGAAGCATCGCAGCAGTGGGAAGGGCTAGGAAGGGGCTGTGGATGTATTGACAGGTGGTGTTGGGGAATTAACCCAATTTCTCCTTTCATCCTTGTCACTCAGAATCCCCTGGGGGAGGAAGGGAGGGAGCTGCCCTTCCTGAAGGGAAGGTTTCCTAGAGATTTTCTGCTGAGGTCTCTGCCCATGAGCACTTTGACAGGAATTTGGGATATAGGCATCCAAAAAATGGACAGCTCCAGCAGGTAGCACTCTTCCCATTGATCCTTTCTCGTGGGTCCCACAGGGAAAATCACTAGGGTACAGGTGCTGGGGGTGGAAGGTAAAGCCTGCTTCCTCCCCTTGAAACAGCATCTGAGCTTACAGTCTTGGCCTGGGCAAGCAAGTAAAAGGGTTGAAAGACATTACAACATTCCAGCATCTGGGATGGGGATGGAATGGGGGACAGGGTCACACACGCACACACATTTCCATGCTGAGATGTGCAAGGCAGGGTGGTGCTCCCTGCTGGGAGGAAAATTGCTGTTTGCTTGCAGAGCCCAGGTGGGTCAGCTAAGGGGGCAAAGTCTTCAAACCATGAGGAAGGCCTGCCTGTGGCTCTGCTTCCATCTCTGTGTCCTCCTGGGTGGGGACAAGAGGGTTCCATCTCCTCCAAGCTGACACTGGACCTTGACAGTGCCCCCATGAAGGTGTGAAGGAAACTTTTCACTTCTCAGATGGTTGTGACCAATGGGAGCAAAATTATTGAGCCCAGGAGCTCTGCCAGGGAAGAGACAAGCTGAGCTGGAGGGGAGTGAGGGGGCTGCTTCTACTACAAGGAATGAGGCAGCAAATCTACTTCCCCAGTCAAGCAGAGAGCAGCATGGTACCCTCATTGCTGGGAGTAAGGGCTGGCTGGGGCAAATGTTCTTCTTGACCTTCTGCTGGATCCCTTGGCTTTATCCTTTCTGGAACAGCCTCCTTCCCCCACCCTTAGTGTGCATGTAATGGGAAGAAAGAGGCTTTTCCTGCATTTAGGCATTCCCGGCAACCAGAGACCTGCAGAAGCTGACCTGAGAGGTGAAGGAAGGACCCTCACCCTGCCCAGAGGAGAGGCACTTGTGGCAGCTCCGCTAAAAACTCACTGCCATGCCCGAGCAACAAGGTTTCTAAGGATCCCTGAAAGCCAGAGGGAAAGGCTGCACCCTCTGGGATGTCGTGCTGCCTCTCACCCCCTGCGGTCCCCGCTGCAGCAGCTGCGGGGTGAAGGTGCTGTGCCGTCCCCAGGCGCAGCATCCGCCGCCGGGAGCGCCGAACGCCGCGGGCGAGCCGGGCTCGGGGGGACGTCGAGGGAGGCAGAGAGGGTGAGAGCAGGAGAAGCAAGCAGAGTGTCCCCCTGCCTGACGGGGGGACGGCGACGTGGGAACGGGAGAGGAGGAAGGCGCGGACTCCTCGCCTCTCGTCCGGCATCCCCGCGGAGCCTGGACGGGGCCGGTGCCCGGTGTGAGCCCCGGCCAGCGGCGGGGGCAGCGAGTCTTCACCCTTCGGGGGCTCGGCCCGGGCTCCTGCCCGCTGTGCCGGCCCCGAGCCGCACCTGCCCCGCAAGGGCCGGGGCTCTCCGCTTTGGGTCCCCCACTCCGGCTTTCCAGCTCTGCGGACTGGGAGAGGGAGCAAGGCTGGGTTTGCTGCCTCGTGGCTTCGCTGTTTGCTGTACCGGAGTGCCCGAGCAGAGGCGCGGAGCCTCGGGCGGCTCTGGACGCACCGGCTCCGGCTCCGGGGATGCTCCCGCCCCGCGGCACCCGCGGCCCGGCCCCGATGCGTGCCCGCAGATGCGAGGGATGGCTGTCCGCCCGAGCCTAGGAGAAAATAAAGACAATGAAGCGAAAGCACCCCGCCGGACCGCGCTGAGCCAGCCGCTGGCGGGGAGGGGAGCGATGGAGCCGGGCAGGTCCGGCGGGGCCGGGCCGGGGCTGCGGGCTCGCAGCTCCCTCCTCGCAGCCGCCGCCTGCCCGGAGGGAGGCACGGAGCCGCTCCGGGGAGAGGCTGTGCTTGAGCGCCTGTGGGGAGCGGAACTCTCTGTTTGTTCTGGGTTTTCGAACCACCTGTAAAATAACAATAAAGTGGGCGCAGCTCCGGTCTAAAATCCTGGGAACAAAAGGCCGCTTCCAGGCGTCAGCCGGCGCTGGGACCGGCGGCCCAGGTGCCGGGGGAGCGCCCGGCGGTGTTGCTGCGCTCTCGCTCGGCCCCGAGGACAGCACCATCGAACTCTCGAATTGGCACAAATAAATTATCTGCAGCATCCGATGGTGCGATTCGGTTTGTTCTATATAAGTTTTTCTTCCTTTACACGAAAGATATTCGATTATTCCTTTCGGTTATCCTCTGCCGCGCTCCTTGTGCTGCTGTGGTACCCAAAAACTGTCGACGACAGAGAAGAAAACAATTTTAAGGAGGAAATTGAAGGGAAAAAAAAAATCAGTATTTTTTGCTTTTCAAAAACCAGCCCTGATAGTGACTATGAGGGAAAAAAAAAAACCCAAAAAAAAAAAAAAAAAAAAAAAAAAAAAAAAAACAAAACACAAAAAAAAATAAACCCAAAAAAACAAAAAAAAAACCCCAACAAACTCAAATCTTTCAAAATCGTCTCTCCTTTGAGGTAAAATTCGACCAAGATTTTAAAGCAACCGGCAAACTGTCAAAAGTTTTTTTTTTAAATAAATAAAAATCTGTTTCATTGTTCAGTGATTCTAAACTGTTTAATATCGAAGTGGGTTTTTAGATGCGAGGCAATACTTCCAAATAACAGACCACCCCCACCTAAAAGGACTTTAGTTGTGCTTACATGTGCATGTCACATTATCGAGAGAATAAAATGTGCCGTGGAGGTTCGCAAATCTCCTTAACTTGTATTTGATCAAGATCAATTAATTTATTTCAGTTGTCAGAGAGAACGTTAAAGCATCGTTCCAAGTTTTCTATATTTACCGCCTTTCTGCATCTCTCTCTCTCTCTCTCTCTTTCTTTCTTTCTTTCTTTCTTTCTTTCTATCTTTCTATCTTTTTCTCTTTCTCTCTTTTTCTCTCTCTCTTTCTCTTTCTCTCTCTTTCTCTCTTTCCTTCTTTCCTTCCTCCTTTTTTTCTTCCTTTCTTTCTCTCTCTCTTATTCCTTATTTCTTTCTCTTGTTCTCTTTCCCTTTCTGCACTTTCTTTCTTTTTCTTCCTCTCTCTTTTCTTTTCCTTCTTCTCCTGTCATGAAAAAACATGCTTTATACTCTCACACCACAACGAGATAAAGGAAAAATTGCGAACTCAACCTGACATTTATCTCTTCATTCCTAGCTTCCCCTCAGCTGAATAAAACGCGAGCCCACGGTTTTCCCAAGGTGCCACAAGTTGGGTTTCTCACTGCGCTCGGTGGCTCCTGGCCACACCGCGGGCCAGCGAGGGAACCGGGGATGCGGGGAGAGGCAGGGAACACATCCCGGTGTGGGAACCCCGGGAACCCATCCCAGTGTGGGAACCCATCCCAGTGTGTGCAGGGGACTCGCAGCCCTAATCCCGCTCCATCTTGGGAGGTGACACGCACGAAAAAAAGCGGGGGAAAGGGTTTTGTTTCCCCATTGTGCCTACGTCCTGAATAGAAACCTCCGCGGCTTCCGCCCGCCCGGGAGCGGCAGGGCCGGGGGAGGCTGGCGGGGGAATCGCCCTGGTACCCCCGGCTGCCCCCGGGGAGCGGGGCTGCAAAATCCCGGCACGGCTGCGCCTCCGGCCGCGCTGGGCGCGATCCGCTCCCTCCCGAGGGCGAGAGCGCGGCGGGGCGGGCGGGACACGCGTGGGTCGGCGGCGCCGAGCCCGGCGGGACGTGCGCGGGGGCGGGACGCGCGTGGGAGCGGGGGAAGGAGGAGCGCGCGTGGGCGGTGCCGGCCCGCGGGGCAGCCCGTGGGCACGGACGGCGCGGCCGTGCCCGGTGTCCCACGGCCGTGCCCGGACGGCTCCCAGGGCCGCGTGGGAGCGAGGGGAGGGCGGTCCCGGGGTGGGCAGCGGTGCGGGCGGTCTCGCATCCCCCGCGCACCTTCCCCCGGGGGCGAGCGGGGCCGCTGCCGCCGGGACCGGGCACGGATCCCTCCGGGCTCTGCGGGAGCCCCGACCGGCCCCGCCGCTCTGCCTTCGCCGGGGCTGCGCTCCCGGCCCGGGCAGCGGGAGCGGGAGGGGGCCGGGGCAGCCCCCGCCGCTGCCCCGCGCTGGGGCTGGGGCTTCTCCCTGTCCCGGCAGGCCGGGCGGCGGCACCGCCGGCACTGCAGAGCAGGGTTTTGTTTGTCGAGCTCCCTTCTCTCTCTTTTCTTTTTTTTTTCCCATACAACAATTTTTCTTTTTCCTTTTTCTTTTTTAGTTTTATTTTTCTTTCTTTTTCTTTCTCTTTCTTATTCTTTACCTTTCTCATTTCCTTTTTATTTTCCTCTTTTTTCCGTCTTCCTGTTTCTTTACCTTTTCTATTTTTTCCTTTTCTATTTTTTCATTTTCCATTTTTTTCATTTTTCTTTTTCTTTTTCTTTTTCTTTTTCTTTTTCTTTTTCTTTTTCTTTTTCTTTTTCTTTTTCTTTTTCTTTTTCTTTTTCTTTTTCTGTTTCTTTTTCTTTTTCTTTTTCTTTTTCTTTTCCATTTCCCTTTTCTTTTTTCCTTTTTCTTTTCCATTTCCCTTTTCTTTTTTCCTTTTTCTTTTCCATTTCTCTTTTACTTTTTCCTTTTTCTTTTCCATTTCCCTTTTCTCTCTTCCGTAGTGCCAATTCACCAGAGTTTAAAACAAAGCTATAACCACCAAGCACCGAACGCCACTTTTCCAATGAAAAACTTCCTTAAAGCATCCCCTTCTTTCGGCTGGAGCCTGATGCAGTGGGACTCGGGGAGAGGAAGGGCCGTTCCTGCCGCACGGGGCAGGGAGCACCACAAGGAGGGGGCAGGTAAACTGGCGGGGCTTGTGCTCCAGGTACCTGAGTTTTACCTTAACAAGAGAAGTTATTTGAAAGCACTAACTCTGCCCATCGTCCCAAGGCTGTTAGTCATTTTAATTTACACCCGTAATCTATTTAACACGCAAATCCGATACAGTTTTTCGAGCTAGCTGGCCGGTCGCCATCCGAACCATGCTGTGAGATTTTTGGCTCCCCAGGACCGGGGAATCCAATGGAGCCCTCTCGATTCTGTTTTCTCCACCGTCGAGGTGATGATGGTTTTGTGTAGTTAGTTCTAAAATGCTTGGCAGCTTGCCCGCCAAACCATAAGCGATAGAAAAATGCAAACAAACTCTCTGTTTAATAGTCAGTGGACAGTGCAACTAATCCACTGTAAACTGCTAATGGGTATCGATGTCAACAGGTACGCGGCGAGAGCCTGATACTCTGCACTCAGTGGAAGACACTTCTCTTCTGAATGAGGATTATGTGCAAAATGCAACTTGGCAGAAGGATCCAAATTAAATTCATGCTTCAGTTAATTCAGATTAATTTTCCTGATTGCCCTAGCACACTAGACAACCAAATCCCTGTGTACACTTGCTCCTTTTCTTTTTAAGAAGTTGATACAAATCTCTTCTCCTGCGGAGTGTTGCAAGATGCATGTGCTGAAGATTGTGGTTCTCTCAGGCATTAACTAGAGTAATAAAATACCCGAGATGTAATTTTACATCACTGTTATTACTACAAACATTAGTTTAGGATACTGGATCCACTATATGACCGTGTTTCCAGTGTTTTTTTCACTAACATGCTGCAAGAAACATCCCAGCTAATCACCTTAATGGAAATTAGAGAGGAAAATTGTCTATTAGGCTATTTAATCTATGCTCACTCAGTAACATTTTCTTACCGTTTTCAGTCCAGCCTTAAATTTAAAAATAGCCTGTAAGAATTATACTGTAGCCTCCAGAGGTTGTTATACCAACAGATAGTTCAGGAAAGCATGAAAACACACTAAAAAGAGGTTGCTAAGAAATGTTTTCTGGTGGTCAGCTTTATTTTCTTTCTTTATGTTTCATGTTATCCAATTGCTATAAGTCACACGTCCCTCTGACAACCTAAATATGTGTTCTCTCTTCTTCATCTGTGCTCCTGTCACCATGACCCTACTGTGTTTTTAATGTGGGTGTTTTGGGGTTTGTTGGAGTTTTTTTTTTTCCCTACAGAAGGTTAATAAAAGAGTGTGAGTTTAGCTCAGGCTTCATTCCAGGCAGCACCTCGACTATGCGTTTATGTCCAAATTCTTGCTCTTTTTCTTTTCCTTTAGTTGACACCTTGATGCCAAACAGCATAATCTTTCTTGCAGATTTATTTTTTCCACCAAAATGATAGGAGAAGTTGAAAATTTGTTTGCTTCTGCCCCAAGCTGCTTTCTCTGCTGTTTCCTCTGTGAAACATTTGCATAGAGCTGGTACCCCACAGAGAATAAATGTATGGTATGGCAGCATGTGGGAGCTTC